GACTGATTCAGGATTCTGTCACAGTTACCAATATTTTTTAATATAGCTTCTAATATACCTATTAATTGTTTGTACATATTCAAGCTATATCACCTAGGGGTTGCTCCAAGCACCATGGCCACCTTAGTGGTTTCATGTGATCACGGTGCTTGGTGTCTGTGTCTGCATAATTTCACTTTGAAATGGGGCACACTTTCACTTTCGTGAGCAGCAGAGAATGAGACTTCCATGCGGACTAATGTCCGTTCTTTGGATATGTGGCATCTGTCATCAGCACCAGCGAGGGGGAGTAACGTCATCGAATCGTGCTGTTGGAGAGCCTCGCTGCAAAACAGAAAGTCCTCCCTCCCTCCCTCTCTCCCTTCCTCCCAGCTTCCTCCCTCCCTTCCTCTCTACCTCCCTTCCTTCCTCCCTCCCTCCCTCACTACCTTTCTCCCTCCGTCTCTACCTTCCTCCCTTCCTACCTTTCTATCTTGCTTCCTCTCTCCCTCCCTCTCTACTGTCTTCCCTCTCTCCCTTTCTATCTCCCACCCTCTCTCCCTTACTTCCTCTCTTCTTTCATCTCTACCTTCCTCCCTCTCTCTCTTTCTCTCTCCCTTCCCCCTTCCCTCCCTTCCTCCCTCTTGTCCTTCCTTCTGCCTCTTCTCTTCTCCCTCCCTTCCTTCAGTCCTTCCTTCCTCCATCCTCCATTCCTTACTCTCTCCCTACATCTTCCTTCCTTCCTTCCTCTCTCCCTGCATCCCTTCCTCTCTTCCTCCCTGTGGTCCTTCATTCCTTTCTTCCTCCCTCTCTTACTACTGTCCTTCCTTCTTTCCTTCCTTCCTTCTTCATTCCTTCCTCTCTTTCTCTCTCTTCTTTTCTTCTCTCTCTCTCCTTCACTTTCCTTCAGTCATTCCCTCTATCCCCTCCTCTCTCTTTCCCTTCCTCCCTCTCTACCTTCCTCCCTTTCTATCTTGCTTCCTCTCTCCCTCCCTCTCTACAGTCTTCCCTCTCTCCCTTTCTATCTCCCACCCTCTCTCCCTTCCTTCCTCTCTCCTTTCATCTCTACCTTCCTCCCTCTCTCTCTCCCTTCCCTCCCTTCCTCCCTCTTGTCCTTCCTTCCATCCTTCTCTTCTATTCTCCCTCCCTTCTTTCAGTCCTTCCTTCCTCCATCCCCCCTTCCTTACTCTCTCCCTACGTCTTCCTTCTTTCCTCTCTCCCTCCATCACTTCCTCTCTTCCTCCCTGTGGTCCTTCATTCCTTTCTTCCTCCCTCTCTTACTTCTGTCCTTCCTTCTTTCCTTCCTTCTTCATTCCTTCCTCTCTTTCTCTCTCTTCTTTTCTTCTCTCTCTCTCCTTCTCTTTCCTTCAGTCACTCCCTCTCTCTCTCTCTCTCTCTCTCTCGAGAAAACCTTTCAGTTTTGACCCATTATGAAAGCACAGTTATTTTGTGAATATTGTATCTGTCTCTGTTATCTCACAGTTACTGTGATTTTAATTAAAGCAATGCTCTCTGCTCTCTTCCCCCAAAATATGTATCTATATATAATGTCACAATGAAAAACATCTGTTGTTAATTCCAGTGAAATTCTATACCGTGGGATTCTGTTTGATACAAGGGTTGCTTTTATAAAATAATGTTAAATTCACTAACGACAAACCAGGGATGTGAATACACAATGTACAAGTGAAGAGAGAATGTCAGGGCTCTTGGAGGTAAAAGATATCACTTTTACACCAGAGAAACAAACTCTGGAAGGTTTATACTATGTGCGGTGCAGGTGTCCTAGTTTAGTGACTTTAAAACTACAACACCCACAATGCATTGCCTGATCTACTTCTGGCAAAGCATCATATCAAGTACCTCTTGACCACACCTACTTTAGTTTTTAAGGATCCTTATCCTTAAGGTACTTTTTCCAATATAGAGCAGTCGTTTTATTTGTACACAACCCAAGTAGTGTAAAACATGTTCATATTCATTTACAATAAAATTCATTTTACTGACAGCACATTAGCTCTTGCATTCTGGACCCAGAGTGTGCGTGACATTGCATCTTCACTAATGTGTGAATTTAAGTAATAACCCTGAAAGAGTTAAGGTTAGTCAAATAAAGCCTTACGAGTAGTTCTCACCAAAAAGAAAAGCTGCACCTGGTAGGGAGAGAAAGAGAAAGTTATTTTTACATTCCAGTTTCTTAAAATAGTGTTTTAGGAATACATTTGGTGCATTGCTGTGCTTATGTTTCAGCCCTGGTATGAGAATTTCTGCACCAAGCAATTGTTTTAACCTCTGTCTGCTCCCATGTCTTCTTTGTGAGATTTAGTGCCTGGGGTGTTTATTTTTCTACAGATAGATCCGAGCAGGGTGCTACATGGGAAGATGTATTAGTACAGCACAAGGTTCCTTGTGAAAACTCTACTGTGCTCCTAACACTTCCTGATGTGAGGGTCCATTGTCTGATGAATTGTTCTCTTACCCTTTCTGTGACTTTCAGGCCTCCAGATATCTCAGATACTATTGTGTCTCTCAACCCCCTCTCCTCCATGCTTTCATGCCACCCATTGTCTCTAAATTGTA